GACATCGGGACCAGGTCCTCACCTGCCAAGTCTCCTTGAGTTCAGCGGGAACAGCAGAGCGGAGTGAGGCGACCGGGGTGGGAGACTGCCGAAGATAAGCAGGGCACACCTTCTCTGTTATGATCTCTCATTCTGTCACCGCCCCGCCGTTGCCCCCAAACCAGTGGCAACAATGGGCCAGCGCGGTTGGGTTTCCCCGGTCAGGGAACCAAATGTTACAGAACCTGAACTGGATCACCCGACGGAAGAACCAAGCGGCAATCAGAGATCTTGGAGGACAGGAGGTTTATTTAACTCCGGTGGGCTCAGAGGAGAGTGATCTCCAAAGGCCTGAGCGCCGAGCACAAACAAAGGGGGCAATTTATACACTTCTTCCGCGTACTGGCACTTTTGGTGCATGCGCGAAGCGGGGCAGGGAGAAGAACCCGGAAGAGCCCCAGGGCCAGGACTAGGACTCTCTCACTGGCTCGGCCGGCCATCCTAGGACACAGATTGTCCTTATCAAAATGAGGTAACTTGCCCAAGAACATAAAGTGAAAAGAACAGAAACTTTGGAATGATGTGGTCCTGGATGCAAATTCCACCTTCCCCATTTCTGGCTGTGTGACCTTGGGCATGTCTCTTAACCTCCCTTTACTACAGTATCTGTCTTCGTGGAGGCTGCCATAGTAGAATACCATAGACTGGGTGGCTTAAACATTTATTTCTCACAGTTCTGGAAGCTGGGAAGGCCAATATCAAGGTGTCAGCCAATTCTGTTCCAGCTGAGAGCACTCTTCCCGGTTTAGAGATGGCAGATGTCTTCTCCTTGTATCCCATGTCAGAGAAAAAAATAATCTCTTATGTCTCTTCTTATAAAGGCACTAATCCCATTCATGTGGGCCCCACCCTCATGACCTTATTGCCTCCCAAAGGCTCCACCTCAGAATACTATCTTTTTGGGGGTTAGGGTTTCAACATTTGAATTTGCAGGGCTACAGTATCCTCATCTGTAAAATGGGAACAGTGTACAATTACTCCCAGGGTGGCCTACTCTGCATTAAAGGCAGAATGAGGGCTGGAGCTCAAGCCTCCTGATTTCCAGGCTGGTCTTTTATCCCCAGGAAACTGGTGGTCACCCCTACACCACCTGGTCAGAAGAATCCAGAAAACCTAACATCTGGAAGGGTCACATGGAGAGGAGGGTTTTGTATTATTCTGTGAGGCCCCAAAAATGAAGAGCTGGGTTATTGGGGGATGTTACAAGGAAGTAGGTCAATTGAAGGGAGATGTTCCTGACTAAAATGGTTCAGAAACAGCATTTGCAGCTCCAAAGGATAGTGAGAGCTCATCGGTGGAAGATCCCAAGCAGCACCCGGATGCCCATCTTTCCAGCATGTTGGACAGGAGAGACTCTCAGGGTAGGAAGTTGGCAGGGGTGATCTCTAAGGTCTCCTGGTATGTAACCGGCTGTAGTAGACACGTGCTGTTTGTCTCTGCGGCATCCACTTTTGGAGAGCCACCCTCCTTCTGTGGAATTGGTAAGAAGAGCTGTCAATCAGGATGCTCTATTCATCCCTCCCACCCCAGGGGAGGGCATATTACCCAGACTGGCCAACTAGAGCATCTCATCCTCCCTGAACACACTGATTGGTTCAGGGAGGGCATGTGATCGAAACCAGGCAATCAGAATCTTTTTTTTTTTTCCCCCGCTAGAGCCTCCCATAGCCACACCCACCCTTGAATTTCCCAGTCTGGTGAGCTTGTAGAATTGCTTTTTTGCTTAGGTCATTTTGGGGTCTCTGTCCTTGCCACTGATAGAAGTCTTAAATATACCATATAAAAAGGGGCCCTCTGGTGTTGGAGCATGCCTTCCTCCAGCATTGCATTAAAACAATAATAAGAATAATGCAATATATGTTAAGAAAAAGAAGAAGAAGAAGAAGAAGATAGCAGGAGGGGAAGAATGAAGGGGTGTAAGTCGGAGGGCGAGATGAACCATTAGAGACGATGGACTCTGAAAAACAAACTGAGGGTTCTAGAGGGGAGGGGGGTGGGGGGATGGGTTAGCCTGGTGATGGGTATTAAAGAGGGCACATTCTGCGTGGAGCACTGGGTGTTATGCACAAACAATGAATCATGGAACACTGCATCAAAAACTAATGATGTAATGTATGGTGGTTAACATAACAATAAAAAAAATATTAAAAAAAAAACAATAATAAGAAAAACAACACTCAAGGGCACCTGGGTGGCTCAGTGGGTTAAGCGTCTGCCTTTGGCTCAAGTTTTGATCCTGGGGTCCTGGGATGGAGTTCCACCTGGCTCCCTGTTCCAGGGTGAGCCTGCTTCTCCCTCTGCCTCTGCCACTCTCTCACCATCTCTCATGAATAAATAGATAAAATCTTGAAGGGAGGGAGGGAGGGAGGGAAAGAGAGAGAGAGAAAGAGAAAGAGAAGGAAAGAAAAGAACAGAAAAGAAAAGAAATAACACTCAAAACAATAGGGGGCGCCTGGCTGGCTCCGTTAGGTAGAGCATGAAACTCTTGATCTCAGGTCCCCAGTTTGAGCCCCACGTTGGGGTTAGAGATTAAGACAAACTAACAAAAAAATCCTAGTAGTTTAAAGACATTTATAATCTTTATTCTTTTGGGGGGGGAAATGCCACAAGGGATTCCAGTCCTAACACAGAGCAAAAAGTTCCAAAATCCATTTTCTCCACCTCTCCCTTCATACATCTCATATTCTCAGCAGCTGGCCCCTAAACTTGCTCCTTTCTTCTCCAAATGTCCAAGCCCCAGTTGGTTCTTAACTTTTTCCTGTCCTGCCTTTTCCAGCATTTATTGATTCAGTCTTGCTGGACCCCTTGCTGGCCCAGACAGGAGAGGGAGAGGTTGTGAATCCTCATCAATGTGGTTTTATACACTTTATTCTCAGAGTCAGTGGAAGAGGTGTGATTATAAAATCTCACCTATGAAGGGAGGCATGACTGTGAAGTCATACTTTCAGAAGAGATACTGAGGTCTTTTAAGTCTGAGTCAATGTCAAGTTCAGCTTAGTAAACATTTAGTGAGTGGCTACCGAGTGCCAGCTAAGAGCCAGGAGTGAGGCTGAGTTGTCTGGGGCATACAGAATTTGTTTGAGCCCTAGATGCTGAAGGTCTGTTGCTCTTACCTATCACGTGCCAGCCTCTGAGGATGAGGATTCAGGAAGAGAGAGATTAAAGGCACGAAGATGATTTCTATGAAATGGTGATTAAGTTCTACAAAGGAGACATATATGGGGATTGAGAACAAATCAAATTCAGGAAGTAAGGAAAGCACCCTGAGAAAGTGACGTAGGAGCTGAGACTGGAAGCAGGATTAGGAGTTGGCTGGAAGAGTAGGGGGGGAGAAAAACCTGGGAAGGGCAAAGGCTGGGAGATGTGAGAGAGAGGGAGGGAGGGAAGGAGAGAGAGAAAGAGAAAAACCAGCAGGACTGTCTGTGAAGCTGGAGTCTGGAGAACTAGAGGAGAGGTTCAAAGGGGACATGGAGGCCATGTTGTAAACTTAGACTTTGTGTAAGAGATCTTGAGCCCCCAGCTGTGGACCATAAGCCCCACATGCCACTTAGGGTTTGGGATAGGCTTTGTTCTAAACGTGGAGAAGCTCTGTGAGAGTTCTTCCACCCTGTGGAAAAGCAGGTTTACATAGTCCCAGAAGAACCAATTGGGAGCATTTCTTCACAACTCTGTTCAGTGACCTCACACTGAAATGGACTTTGGCAGAGGTATTCATGCCTCCACAAAAGCTACCAAGCAGGGCTTCCTCCCACCTGCCAAGCCCCGTTGTGAAACATTTCCCAACCTCCACCTTGCCACCACTCCTTCTATCTGATAATCTAATCCAAGGAGGAAGCCGACATCCCAGCGCTCATGAGAGTTTAATGCTGTGATCTTTGCAAATCAGAAAGTGGTCAAGCTTGGGGAATTTTATTTTTGTCTGCCCTTAACCACCTGGAGGAGGAATAGCAGAAGTTCAAACCCACAGGCTTTGAGGACAGCCAGACCAAGGTCCAAATTCCAGCCCTGTGACTAATTAGCTGTGTGACCTTGGGTAAGCAATGGAACCTCCCAGAGTTTCATCCATTCAAAGGGATACTAACACCCACCTCATGGGGTTGTTGTGAGGATCAAATACTATAATATACTTAAACTGTAGTACCTGCTGTGTAACAAGGATTCAAATAAATTTTAATGCTATCAAATGCTGTTTTTTTTTAAAAAGATTTTATTTATTTATTTGACAGAGAGAGACACAGCAAGAGAGGGAACACAAGCAGGGGCAGAGGGAGAGGGCAACACAGGCTTCCTGCCAAGCAGGGAGCCCGATGTGGGGCTTGATCCCAGGACCCTGGGACCATGACCTGAGCCGAAGGCAGACGCTTAACGACTGAGCCACCCAGGCGCCCCTCGAATGCTGTTTTTGATAAAGAGATCTCAATAGAAATATGCTCATTTTATTCCAGAATGGCCTCATTTTCAGTATTTGAGAGAGTGGAAAGAAACTGAAGCAGCATTTTGAGGACCTGTGTAGAGGCTAGGTTGTGGTCACTGGCTGAGATTTTCTGGCCCACAACCAAGATGACTTCTTTGAAGGTTTTGAGAGATGCAACTAGCCTGACCTTTGTGGTCTCAAAATGTCCTTTCATGTTGATACAGCAAGGCAACCAGACACACGATTTCCTAACCTGAGATTGGGGTGGGGGGTGTTACAGAACCTGGACTGGCTCCCCCAATGGAAGAACCAAGGGGCACTAGGAGATCTTGGAGGACAGGAGGTTTATTTAACTCTGCTGGGCTCAGAGGAAAGTGGTCTCCAAAGGTCTGAGCACTGAGCACAAACAAAGGGGGCAATTTATACACTTCTACTTCCACGTACTTGGCACTTTCGGCACGTGCACGAAGCGGGGCAGGGAGAAGAGCCCGGATTGGTGCGCGCGGGAAGCAGAGCAGGGAGAAGAACCCGGAAGAGCCCCGGAGCAATGACTGGGACTCTCCCGCTGGCTCGGTCGGCCATCTTAGGACACAGATTGTCCTTATCAGAGGGAACAGCGGAGAACAAGCATGTGGCAGATTTCGTCAAAAAGAACAGGTGCCAGATTCAGACAAGCCAAGTGGGGGGAACAGGTGGCAGATGAAAACATTTCCCCACCACCCTGTCCCCACTGCCAAGCTACTCCCAGTTCAGTGGGATTCTGGGCCTGAAAGAGCTGCAGTTGGTTGGATGAAGACAGAATCTCTGACTCAAAAGGAGATTCAAAGATACGTAGGGATCCTTTCATCTTCCTTGCCTTTGAGGTCCAAATATGGTCCCTGGGAAACCCTGTTAAGATGTGCCAATTGAGCTGAAGTCATGAGGCAAATCTCAGAACCATCCAGAAATTTCTGAATGTTTTCACCCAGGACCAAACTCAAGGCAACTTTTAGATCTACCAAGTTCTGTGAAAACGCATTCTCTCGACCAAGAACTGCTGGGCTACAAGTTGAGAGCCAGCATCTGCCACAGAGATGAGCCCAGGATTCTCTCTGCTCTGGGTCTACTCCTAGTTCGCGGGCATGGTCACAGCTGACCAATGGTTACCCCATCTGTCACTGATACCCAGAGAGTGGACAAAGCAGTTACCCAGAGTTGCTGTGGTCATGGAGTCTGGCCTGAGCCTGAACCCAGAATCCATCACCTGCATCAGCTTTCTGGGCCTCAGAACGGCAGTATCCTCATCTGTAAAGAGGAGGCCATACCTCCTCGGAGAGTGGTGGAAAGAGAAAAAAATAACATTTAATAAAGGAGAGCAATGATTGCTTTTAGAATCTTGTTGGAAAAGCAATACATATAAATTATTGAAAAACTTAGAAATCAAACATGAGCAGAAAGAGGAAATTTAAATATATATATATCTATCTCATATATATGATATATATCTCCTCACCACCCAGAAATTAACAACCACAAACATATTGGTATAGATCCTCGATCTGTTATCCATACCTACGGACATACAGATTTTTTTTAATGGGGCCATATTCTGCTACTTGCTTTTCTCCTACTGAGTATGTTGCAAACATCCCCGAGTCATTACATATCCCTGGGCAACATCCTTTTTAATGAGAGTAGACTATTCCGCGGTGAGGCTGTTTCCATTGCTTGGAAGTGATTACTCTTCAGGTGCCTGGTAACGCACCAAGGCTTTGGTGTCGGAGGCACCAACTTTCCCCAGAACGAGTCCGTTAGCTCTGGAGGCTGCCACTCCCCGGGTGAAGAATGTACAGAATAACAGGACCGACGCACCAGATTTTCAGAGAGATTAAAGTAGATAACGTGTGGGAAGTGCTTGGCTTAGTGTCTGGTACATAGACCACGCTCAATCACCGCCGATGGTGTCTGAGGCTGTGTTGTTAAACTGGCTCTGAACACTTCCCTTAGTCCTGTTTGACAGTCCCATATTGGAATTCCTAACTGCGGTTATTGGTAATAAGCAGTTTTCCTTCCCTTCCCTCCCCCCATATACGGATTTACTGATTCTCCGCTCCACACCCCCCCACTCCGCCAGCGCCCGGGGTCGGGCCGAACAAAGCGCAGCGCAGGCCCTGAGGCGCCACCTGCGGTCTCGGAGCAGGGGTGGCGCGGGGAGCCGGCGGCCAGGCTCGCTCGCAGCCGGGGAATGCCACAGGGATAGCCCCCGCCGGGCCCCGCCCGGGGCCCGCGACTCGGCCTCCCATTGGCTGCCAGCCGCCGCAACCTGCGGGCCGCTGAGCCCAGAGGCTCGGGGAGGTGGCACCTGGCGGCGCGCGGCGGGCCGCGCTGGAGCCGGCCTGGCGGGGGTCGGGCGGTGGGTCCCCCTGCTGCTGTGCCTGCTGCAGTCCACTCGAGGTAAGCGCGGGGCTCGCGGGGCGGGCGGGAGCCGCGGGGCGCCTACCCCCGGTAGCCGAGCTCCTGGAAGGAGGGCCGTGGCCGCAACCTGCCCGCAGCCAGCCGAGCAGGTGCGATCGTCCCTGCCCAGCCACCACCGGTTGTCCTCTAAACTGGGACTTGGGACGGAACAGACCAGAGTCCTTGAAATTCCTTTCCCGGACGAAACTGATCCAGTTTCCTAGGGCCAATGCAACTCCCGGTGAACAGGGAAAGACAGTGGCAGTTTAAAAAGCAGCTGCGCTGATTTATAAAGTCCTGCTTAAGGTTTCCTAAAGGCACTGTCCCCTGCATTAATATGACACTGGATCCTCGCTGTTAGGGGAAGTCCACTGAGACAGTGACGTCTGAGCAGAGATGTGAAGGAAGCAAAGGCGTGAGTCTGATAGAGATCCAGAGAAGGGGACCAGTCTAGGCAGAGGGAACAGCTCCTGAAAAGGGGTGGAGGTGGAGCGTGCCTGGCATGCTCTAGAAACAGCAGAAAGACCAGTGTAGCTGGAGAGCAGGGAGCACGGGGAGAGCAGTGAGTGGGATTAGGTAGGTCTTGGTGCGGGGGGGCAGATTATAAAGACTTTGGATTTAACCTTGAATGAAGTGAAAGCCATTAGAGGGTTTGAAGCAGAAGAGTGACTTGATCTGACTTCATTTTAGCCCTTGCTGCTATGTGGAGAATGGACTGAAGGGACAAGGTTGGAAGCAGGGAGACCAGTTGGGAGGCCTTTGGAATAATCCAAATTATCACAATATTCATTCATTCAACAAATATTGTGCATCTACTCTGCGCCAGGGACCATGGCAGGCAAGCTCCGGGGACATGGCTAAGAAAAGAACTGAGCACCTGCTCCTGAGACCCTCAGGGCTGTTCCCTCCTGGAGTCCAGCAAATCCAGTAGATGGTAGATGGTTCCTGTTCGGAGGTGTTCCACTGAAACCCTCAGGTGTCAGATGGACCGCAGAGGCCTAGGGAGGGGAAGGGGCTGCGGTACAGGCTATCAGTGGCCCAGCTGTGACTGGAGTCCTGACCCTGGGTGCCCAGCCTACATCATGTCGCCTATGCTTTAGCTACCCCAGATGACTCCTGGTTCTCAAACTCACCGAGCACCTGACAGCCCACCACACCGCTCTTCAGCTCCAAATGGCCCATGTCAAGACCAGCCAGGAGCTCCAGGCTTCATGACCTCTTTCTCTCCCACAGGGAAGCCCCATCTGGCCCCTCCCCAGAACGTGACGCTGCTCTCCCGGGACTTCAGCGTGTACCTGACATGGCTCCCAGGGCCTGGCTACTCCCAGAATGTGACCTATTTTGTGGCCTATCAAAGGTAGAGGGGAGTCTCCGGTCTGGTGTTTGGGAGCCTGAGGACGATGGCAGAGGCTGGAGGCGCTTGTCTGGGAGTGTGTGTGGTCAGCTTCCTGGTTCTCTGTGTCCCGTGGGAGACAGCATGTGGCAGGTGTTTGGAGAGAGCGTTGATAAAGATCTGGAGGTGGGAATGGTGTTGATTAGGGGACAGTGCACAGGTGTTGGGTCTGCCGGGGCTCGGGAGGATCTCTGACAAGAGTCAAACAGGGCTCGATTAGAGCTACAAGGGCCCAAGGGTGGAATTCTCCAGGGCCTGGATGAGGTGCTTGGAGTTGTTCCAGCTGACAAGGGAGGGCAGATGTATCTCCTGCAGGGCCTGTGGTAGGCGTCGCTAGAGGATCACCCTTTTCCCTACGGAGCCTTGAGATCCTTCTCAACTCCGCAGTCCAGTCCGGACAGCCATGACTAATCCAGAGAAATCTGAAAGTGGAAGCAGATTTGCTGATCTTTGCACCTAAATAGGAAGCACTTGAGGTTCTTTAGCGGGAGAGTAAGATGATGAAAGCAGATAGTCAAGAGGACTCATCTAGGATGGGTGAGGAGGAGGAAGCAGGAAGGGGAGGTAAGTGCTGAGTACGCAGGACCCACCTGTTCCAGGCTGAGTGCTAACGTCTTGCATGAATGTTTCACTTCTTCCTCCCTGTATACCCAGGCTGGCACTGCACTTCCCCCATTTATTTTTATTTTTTATTTTTATTTTATTTGTTTATTCGAGGGAGAGAGGGTGTGAGTAGGGGGAGGAGCAGAGGGAGCATGGAGCCCGACACGGGACTCAACCCCACGACCCTGAGATCAGGACCTGAACCGAAATCAAGAGTCGGACACTTAATCGACTGAGCCCTGCACTTCCCCCATTTTAGAGACAAGGAACCTGAGCTCAGAGAGGTGCTATGATTTGCCCAAGGAAACCAGGGATGGAGCCAGAAGAAAAACCCCAGTCTGTCTGACCCTGAAGCTTATGTGCTTCCTGTTCTTTCATGGTCCCTCCTTCTGTAGCATCCAGATGTGAGTGAGGGGGGCCTACCTTGGAAAAGGGCAGATTGCCAGAGAGCTTTCAAAAGAAAGAACTGTACAGAAATGTATCAGGAGGCAGGAAACACCTAACATGTACTGTGTGCTTGCTGTGTGTCAGGCACTGTGTCCACACGTTAACTGTCCTTATTTGCACACAGCCCCGGGAGGAGGGGTGTGGTACCTGCCCCCTGCAGGGCAGAAGATGGAGGCACCCAGAGTATATTTTGCTCAAAGTCACATAGCTGGGAATAGTGGGGCCGGGCTAGATTGATTAGAGTTGAAAGTCCATCCTCCAGATCTTTATGATATTGTCTTTCTCTTTTATACTTTTTCAATATCTGTGAGGATTCTAAAATGATGATATTCTAATTGTATTATTTTTTTCACTTATTAGGTGGAATTATTTTACAAAGAGATGCTTCCTCTCTTGTAGTATTTGATATTCAGTGTACTATTCAGATAGGCAAGACAGGACAAATGCTTGATTTTTTTGTACAGGTTTTCAAGATCATGAATTGGTTCCCTATCATCTCCCAAAGGCAATTGATTTGATTTTTTTTTATTATCTTTATGAACTCAAGTACTTAAACATATCTGATGGTTTCAATCCATTGCAACTTGTCTACTCATTAAAGCTTGAATTGTCCCATCTTTGGCCAGCAAAAATCCTTTCAAGTTAGCTCCTGAGTCCTTTTCTTTTTTTTTTAAAGATTTTATTTATTTATTTGAGAGAGAGAGAGAATGAGAGATAGAAAGCACGAGAGGGAAGAGGGTCAGAGGGAGAAGCAGACTCCCCGCTGAGCAGGGAGCCCGATGTGGGACTCGATCCCGGGACTCCGGGATCATGACCTGAGCCGAAGGCAGTTGCTCAACCAACTGAGCCACCCAGGCGCCCGCTCCTGAGTCCTTTTAATTTGATGCTAGTAGTTTTAATTATTTTACTGCTGTTATACCAAGATGTTTCAGGCTCATTTGTACAATCCCTGACCTAAAACCTGAATCAGCCATTTCTCCATTTAGTAGAAAATGGTTTTAAAGAACACAGTGTGGCCAGCTGTGCTGATCACTACTTAGCTATTACTTTGATCTTTTCAGTTAAACAGGGTGAGGTAGGTAGGTAGGTAGGTAGGTAGGTAGGTAGAAAGATAATTCTAATCCCACCTCTGTTCCTGGCTTCTACTGAGATGGCTAATTAAATCCATGAGTCCCATCCATGATCTCCTTATCAAATGATTTCCCAACCACACCCTGACCCTTGGTGTTCCTTCTAGAACTTACTTTCTCCCTTTTTTGCCATATGCATAGGCTGAGAATTTTCCAGTTCTGGTTCCTTTTTGCCTAACAGTGCTTTCTACATGCCTCTCTCCTCTCTCCTTTTACCGTAAGCAGTAAGGAGAAACCAGGTCACATCTTCAACATTTTCCCTAGACATCTCCTCAGCTACATATCCAAGTTCATCACTTTTAACTTCTATTTCCCACAAAACACCAAAACACAATTCAGCCAAGTTCTTTGCCACTTTATAACAAGGATCACCTTTCCCCCAGTTTCCAGTAAGATATTCTTCCTTTGCATCCAAGCTCTTCCCAGAACCACCTTTGACTCCATATTCCTATCAACAGTCTCTTCAGGGCCCTCTGGGTATTTCTAGCATGCACCCAAAAACTCTTCCCGCCTCTAGCCATTCCCCAGTTGCAAAGCCACTTTCACATTTTTAGCTGTTTCTTACATTAGCACCCCATTTATGGTACCAAAATCTGTCTTAATCAGCCAGGGCCACCATGACAAAATACCGTATCCTGGGGGCCTTAACCAACAGACATGCACTTCTCACACTTTCAGAGGCTGGAAGTCCAAGATCAAGGCATCAGCAGGTTTGCTTTCTCCTGAGGCCTCTCTCCTTGGCTTGCAGATGGTCGTCTTCTCTCTCTGTCCTCACATGGCCTTTTCTCTGTGTGAGAGCATGCCTGGTATCCCTTTCTCTTCCTTAAAGAATGTAAGTCCTATTGGTTTAGGGCCCCACTCTTATGACCACATTTAATTCTCATTACCTCTTGAAAGGCCCTATCTCCGAGGACCTATACAGTCATATGGGGGGTTAGGGCCTCAGCATATGATTTTGGGGGGGGGGAATTTAGTCCATAGTACCTAATAAACTGGATTTCATCACATTTAAAACTTTTACTCTTAAAAAAAAAAGCCTGAAGAAAATGAAAAAGCCAGCTACTGAGAAAAAAATTCCCAATATATACACTAGAAAAGGACTAGTATCCAAAATAGATAAAGAACTCCTGCATCTTAATAATAAGAAAACAGATCACCCGAAAAGACTTGAATAGTCACTTCACAAAGGAAGATATTTGAATGGCCAAAAAACACATAAAAAGATGTTCAATAGCCTTAGTCATCAGGGAAATGCAAATCAAAGCTACAGTGAAACACTACCACACACCAACTGGAATGGTTAAAATTAAAGGGACTGACAATACCAAGTGTTGTCAAACATGTGGAGTAACTAGAACTCTTGTGCATTGTTGGTGGGAATGTACGGTCACTCTGGAAATCAACTTGACAGTTTCTTGTCAAGTTTCACCTTCAGTTACCAAATCTCCCAGATTCTACTCCTAAAGCTTTTTAAGAGAAATGAAAATAAATGTCCATACAAAGACTTGTACATGAACATTCATACCAGTTTAATTCATAATAGCCCTGATACGGACTGAAACATACACCGGCATATTCATATGCTGAAACCCTAACCGCCCCCCCCCCAAGAGTGTATTTGGAGATGGGGCCTTTCACGAGGTAATTAAGATTAAATATGGTCATAAGGGTGGGGCCCTAAACCAATAGGACTATGTGCTAGTATTTTTGTTAATATTTTGTTGATGGTTCATGTGTGGCTCAACTAGTTCAGTTCTGTTTATGTTCATTAGACCAACTTTGATAATTATGTTTTTCTTTTTTCTGTGTTTTCTGTATTTGCTGATTATTTTTCTTTGTTCAATCATCAATTACTAAGTGAGGTATATTAAAAATTTCTCATTATGACTGTGGATTTTCTGTTTCTTCCTATAGTTTTATTGTTAATGTTAACATACTATACCTCTACCAAAAAACAAAACAGAGGAGTTCTTTCCAAAAATCTGTTCTCTTTGCCTATGCCCATCTCAGCCTCCTCCATTCACGTATCGCTTGGTCCCCAAACCCAGGAGTAACTGTGGATTATTTTCCTCTCCTCATGTTTCACATCCAATCTTCGAGCAGGTCCCATCTGCTTTTACCTCCAAAATATATCCCCAGTCCAGCCCCTTCTCGTCATCCTCACCTCTGTTCTCCCTTAGACCACTGCTGCAGCCTCTCAGCTGGTTTATCTGAGTGATCTTTTATTTCTTTCTGACGATTTATTTATTTATTTGAGAGAGAGAGAGAGAACACATGTGTGCAAGAGCCAGTGGGGGAGGGGCAGAGGGGGAGGGAGAGGAAGAGAATCTCAGGCAGACTCCCCACTAAGCACAGAGCCCAACATGGGGCTTGATCTCACGACCCTGAGATTGTGACCTGAGCCAAAACCAAGAGCCGGATGTTCAACCAACTGAGCTACCCAGGCACCCCGAGAGTGATCTTTTAAAAACAGAAATTAGGTCACCTCGGTCCCCCTATTCAGAACCTTCCAGGGGCTTCCTAGCCCACTTGGAATAAAATCCAAGCTCCTTACCAGGATGTGGAGGCCCCACCCACTCCTCTGCCCACCTCTCCAGACTGTCCACACCTCTCCCTCCCTTGTCCACTAGTCTGCCGCCATGCTGGCCATCTTGCTCTCTTCTGGACAGGTCAAGCTCCTTCCCACTGCAGGCTTCTGCTTTTGCCATCCCTTCCCCCAAGCCTACACCTGGCTCCCTTGCCATCGAGGCCTCAATACTACCTTCCTGGCCTTTCCTGAGCCACCTTTGGCAAGCAGTCCTCCCACATTCCCCATTACAGCTGCCCTTACCCACTCCTGGGTTTACCTCACTGATGGGACGATTGGCTTTCTCCCCCTCCCACCAGAACGTAAGTTCCCGAGGGCAGGACCCATCAGGCGTCGCCAGTTCCCCAGGGATACTGCCCAGTGTGCAAGTCCCTTCTTTGGACCCCGGTGTTGTCCGAAGGTTGGCATCACAGACCTGCGTGTCCCCTCTGACAGCCACACAGCATCCAGCATGATGCCTGGCATTCAGCAGGGGGCCTGAAAGGCCTGAATGAAGAACGTGGGAAGTGGTTGCTAGCACTCACAATAGCAGCCACCACGTGGCCCTGGGGAGGCAGGAAGATGAGGAGGCTGACTTCCTGAGGCCCCAGAGCTAGTGAAGGACAGAGCCAGAATCCCACCACCTGCTTCTCTCCAGAGTCTGAGCTCCTAACTAGGCTCTCCAGAGTCTGAGCTACGGTAGGACAGACGGATGGGTGGACATTCGGGCAGATGGAGGGACAAGGGAGGACGTGTCTGCTAAGCTCCCTTGCCCCAGAGGCAGAGTCCACAGCCCAGGCTCCCCTGTCTCCTCCCTCAGTGCTGCGACCCCCAGACGGTGGCGAAAAGTGAAGAAGTGTGCAGGAACCAAAGAGCTGGCATGTTCTTTGATGTGCCTGGAGAAACAAGACCTGTACAACAAGTTCAAGGGGCGTGTGTGGGCGGTTTCTCCCAGTGCCAGGTCCCCCTCGGTGGAGTCCAAGTACCTGGATTACCTTTTTGAAGGTAAGTCTGTGGTGAAGGGACCTGGTGGGAGACTCCCTGTCCAGGAACTTGGCTAAGTGGCACTGCTGTCCCGGCCACTGTCTTCCACCTCCCCAAAGCGGAGGACAGCCGCATGTAGCCTGGCTTCGTGGCAGGGGGTTAGGGGACTTCTGCCGGCACCAGCAATTCCGTTTGCACTCCTCCTAATGATGTTCTTTATCTTCTAGTGAACACAACCTTAGTCGTGAACTACACGAGGCATTTTATCTACTTACTCCTATTTTTATGTTCAAATTCTCTTTAAGAAACAATTTTGGGGGGCGCCTGGGTGGCTCACTCAGTTAAACGTTAGGCTTGGGTCATGATCTCAGGGTCCTGGGATCAAGCCCCACGTCAGGCTTCCTGCTCAGTGGGGAGTCTCCTTCTCCCTCTGCCTCTGCCCCTTGTCACCTCCCCCCAACTTGTGCTCTCTCTCTCAAATAAATAAATAAAATCTTTAAAAAAAAAAAAAAGAAAGAATTTTTTTAAATTCCAGTTTCAAAAGTAACTTCTGTGCACTGCAGAAATTGGGGCAGGGGAGAGAAGGAGAGAAAAATAGAGAGGAAAGCATCCGCCATGTGTCCCACATTCAGAAATCACCAGTGTTAACACTGAGCCAGGAGAGCACTCTTCTTTTCCCACTATATTTTATTTCTTTTTTTTTTTAAAGATTTTTTATTTATTTATTTGAGAGAGAGAGAGAATGAGAGATAGAGAGCATGAGAGGGAAGAGGGTCAGAGGGAGGAGCAGACTCCCCGCCGAGCAGGGAGCCCGATGCGGGACTCAATCCCGGGACTCCAGGATCATGACCTGAGCCGAAGGCAGTCGCTTAACCAACTGAGCCACCCAGGCGTCCCCCACTATATTTTATTTCTAATCCTAACGACACACCTGTGGGGTTCATTTTCATTAACCCATTTTTTTAAAAAATAAAGTAGGATTCACAAAAGTTAAGGAACTTGCCAGGATACACAACTAATAAGGGGTGGAAATAGAAGGAGACTCTGGATCTTTCTAATCTTGGTCGTGGTACTAGACCAGAGCAGGGGTGAGGTGGGGTGGTAAGAAGGAAAAGATAAATACTCCAACAATAGCCTCATGGAGCTGAGATCTGTAACTTGCTACCCAGTCTTCTCAAAATGTGTGAGAGCAGAATAAGGCTTGGAGAGAGAGGTGGAAGGGCTTGAATGAAATTGTCCAGGGAGGATCGTAGGAAGGAAGGAGAGCTGGCCTGGGTGGGAGAAGCTGGCTGGGTGGATAAGAAAGGGAGACAGACGGATGGGTAAGAAGAAAGGCAGTATGGAGGGGGTGCAGGAGGTTACGGTGGAGGAGGGAATGGAAGAAGGCTATGTGGAAAGACACATGTGTGGATGGGAAGACGGAGGACAGGAAGCAAAGGCAGATGGATGGATCCATGGGTAGATAGAAGGCTGGGAGGAGGGAAGAGATGGAAGGACAGGAGGAAAGGGGAGGCAAAGGAGGAAGGAAGAGAGGAAGCAAGGACAAGAAGATACGATGTATGGAACGTAAAGAAGAATGGATGGGTGAGGAGGAAGGAGGGTAGGGAAGTAGGGGCTTGGCTAGCCTAAAGACAAGAAGACAGTCTAAAGGAACAGGAAGAAAGGAAGGAGTGTTGGTTGGAAAGAAAGGAAGCATGGGCAGGCAGGCAGCCGGGCAGGCGAGCTGGAAGAGCGAAGGATGAACCAATAGTTGGGGGACGGGGGGGGGAAGAGGTTAGGATAGAAGGAAAGATGCAGCCAGGAGGTTACTTTGTCATTACCATGAATTTTGTGTTTGCCTCCTCCTCCCTGAAGCTCCCCTCGCTCTCCCGCAGCACACCCCAAGCCAGAATGAGCCTTCCTGCCTTTTGCCACCCTCGGCTGGGGCCCTGGTCATTTGCTTTCTTGAGTTTTGGTAGTTTGCATATTTCATTGCCCCCTAATTTCCTCCAGCTCCCAGAGGTCAAGATCCCCATTCCCTCCAGCTGCCTGCTCAGGGCTTAATATGTTGTCAGTGGCCCCTGGACTCTGACCTACAGAACTAGGAAATAATGCGTGCGTGTTGTTTTAAGCCGCCCTGTTTGTGGGGCTGCGTCAGCAGCTGTAGGAAGCTGATACAAGTGGGCAGGATTCTGACAGTGGTACGTGAGGGCACCCAGGTGCAAGGGGCAGCAGGAGGAAAGACAGGTGAGCTGGGAGCCTGGCCTGTTCATTTCACCTCTCTAAGCCTCAGTTTGCCCTTCTGGATGGCAAGAATAGTGGTATCTCTCCCCCAGGGTCACTGCAGAGCTGAAATAAAATGGCTTTAAGGCTCTTGATGCATAGTAGGTGCTTTACAAACACTAGAGCCACTTTCCCCTTCCAGGAGTGTTCTCTGGGCTGCGGGGGCGGGGGGTGGTGTGTGGCAGGGGGCAGGGGGATGGAGGCTGACAGGTCCTGTTCTGGTTCTGCCAGTGGAGCCAGCGCCCCCCGTCCTGGTAGTCACTTGGACAGAGGAGATCCTGAGCATCAATGCCACCTACCAGCTGCCTCACTGCATGCCCCCACCGGATCTGAAGTATGAGGTGGATTTCTGGAAGGAAGGAATCGGGAACAAGGTAAGAAGCCCCTTTCCTGCCCCCAGCCTGGACCTCCCTCCCCACTGCCCCACCAAACCCCAGTGCCTCTCAGCCCCCCGCCTCCTTCCTGCACACCTCCTCCAGGAAGCCCACCCCACATACCTCTCACTCCTGGCAGTCACCCCCTGACTCTGTACAGTACGATTGGCTTGTGGCCCACGCCTGCCCTTCTCCACCTAAGAAGCCAGTATGGGACGTCCTGCCCCTGCACATTATAAGTGGTAACAGCACACCTGTTTTCTACCCAATATATATTTTTTAAATTATGAAACCCTTTTGGTCCAATGAAGTCTGATTGAAGTATGATAGGCTGTGGGAGGCTCGCTTGCCAAGCCACCGGATTCATTACCAAAAAAATCAGAAAGCACAGATACATTCTAGGAAGGAAACTAAAAGTGCGCAGAGACTACCACAAATATGCAGTTTCGGACTTGTTTCTCGTGTCTGCACGCGTGTGTGTCTGTACACGTTGATCGATGGCAGGGCTTGGCAGACGTTTTCTGGAAAGGGCCAGATAGCAGATATTTTCTTACTTCGAGGGTCAGGCGGCCTGTCCAGCTAGCGGACTCTGCCGCTAACCCACAAAAGCGGCTACAGACAATGGGGCGATACACAGGCATGGCCGTGTTCCAGGGAATTTTTTTTGCTGTGTGCAAAAACAAGGCAGCAGGCCAGATTTGACCCATGGGCTGTAGTTTACTGACCCCTGTTCTTATTCCCTCTTTCTTTCACTGAACCCACCAACATCCACACTCCTGACCACCTGCATACGTACTGTGGACCCTAGATCTTCTTCTGACATAGTCCCTGCCTCCCAGAGCATCACAGCGCTGTGCCACACGTGTAATTTTAAGTGTTCCTCACTAAATTACGTAAAAGAAACAAGTTCATTTCATTTTAATAATCTATTTTATTGCATCCAATAAAACGTTATCATTTCAACATGTAAATAATATAAAAGTTCCTGGCATGTTTGGCATTCTTTTTTCATGTCGTCTTTGAAAGCCAGTGTGCATTTTGTACTCAGAACCCATCTCAGTTTGGACCAGTGGCTGCTGGACTGGGCGGAGCAGCCCTAGAGTTTTCTGGGTCCATAAGGACTGAATGATGCTCTCTACTCCCAGATACATTGGGAGGCCCTGAGGGCAGAAAGCCTGAGGAATCTGCCCTTCAAAATGGGGACCCGCAGGCCCTGGGGGGTGCACACGAGGGTGACCCTGAGTGGCAGGGCTGCTCTTGAGTGTGCACCGTCTCTACTTCAAGATTCAGTGGGGAAGACACCAGATGATGGTGCTCCCCAATGCTGAAACTGTAACGCGGGCAAAGAAGACGCGGGGATCACTGGAGTATCCTCCCAGCCCCACCCTGTCCTGTCCCCACAGCGGGTCTGCCCCCCTCTGCTGTCTCTCCAAACAGACGCGATTTCCGGTCACTCCCCGCAGCCAGCCAGTCCACATCCCCCTGCAGCCAGCCACCAGCGGACACCATTGCCTCAGTGCCAGAACAATCTATACCTTTGGTGATCCTAAATACAGCGACTTCTCCAAACCTACCTGCTTCTTCCTGGAGGCCCCAGGTGAGTGCCAAGTGATACAGAGGTGAGGACATTCCCCCACCCCCACCCGGCACATATTATCTCCATCCTATGACAGTTAAGGGCATGAGTCTAGAGATGGACTCCCCTCGATTAAAATCGCACTCACTGTGTGTCTTTGGGTAGCTTACATCACCTCTCTGAATCTTGGTTTCCATAGTCTGTAGGATGGGTTTACTCTTAGGAGGATTACATGGGATAATGCATGTGAAACCTGCAGCACATATACAGTTATGGGTGGGAGCCATGGTCATTGTTTCTGTTCTTCTTTTTTTTTAGATTTATTTATTTATTTGAGAGAGAGAGAGTGCGCACACAAGCTGGGGGGGGAGGGAGGGAGGGAGGACAGAGGGAGAGAATCTTTTAAGCAGACTCCCCGCTGAGCACAATCCCATGACCCTGAAATGATCATGACCTGAGCCAAAACCAAGAGTCAGACACTCAACCAACCGAGCCACCCAGGCACCCCATGTTTCTGTAGTTCTTATTTTTCATTACTTAGGAGCCAGCTGGGCATTCCTGGTGCTGCTACCACTTCTGCTTCCCCTGCTGTTGGTCATTACCATAGGCTATGTGATCTGGAAGCACTTCAGAGAGAACCCGTGGTTTCAGCAAGCAAAGATGCCGTGGGCCCTGGTATGGCAAGTCTGGGTGTGTGCAACAGAGGGGGAGGGTTGTTGAAGAATAAGGAAATGGGGCTGGACTTAAAGACATGAGTCAGATAGAGTGTCAACATAGTCCAGACTGCAAACATCTCCTATCTTCATGTCTAAATTTCCACCATTAGTAATTCATTCCTTTGGCACCAAATTCAAATGGCAAATATACCTGGGAGGGAGAAGTGCTGTAAGTCCCCATAGTGAAATAACTTCATCTCTGCTAAGGATTTTTCAGGTGCCAAGAGCAGAGCCCCCAGCCTTGGGACTCAGGAGGGGTACGCAGAAAGGGGAGGGGGAGGGGGTGGTGCCAAAAGGGGAAATCTTAGAAGGATCCCAACACTGAGTTCACAGTTTAACCGAGGGTGAGTCTTGCCCAGGCTGACCCCAGAATCTCCTCACTTGTCTGCTGGCTCACTCCCTTAGAAGCTGGGACAGGGGGAGGCCTGGAGACATCAGATGGGTCCGACTTGTTCGAATGAGGGCCTGGCGAGGGTGGCTCGGCCATAGGTGTGGCTCAGTGGGCCCTCGGGTCAGGATGGCTTTGAGGATGGATTCTGAGTATCTGCCATACAGGAGTGTTTTTAACATCCTTCGCTCTGGGACCTGCAGGGAAATCCCAGCTGAACTACAAGCTCTGTGTTAGACATTTCTGTGCTCTGCCGCACCCCTCCACCTGCTCTTTACATGGAGAGTCACCACTCAACTTCCAGCAGCCAACACCTGCTGCGGGGGGGGGGGTCGGGGGGACTTCCTCTGGCCTCTGGTGTCCACTGCACCTGTGCATGTGGCCGGCCAGGGACTGGCCTTGCTCTCACCCTTGCCAGCTCTCACCTGACGGTGCCCTGAGGTGCGTAGGCTGCACTGGCTCCCAGCTGCCCTACGGGTAACTTGCCTGATGACAGCCTCTCTTGGTGGCTCTCCCCAGCCCCACTAAATTTTCCCTTACTGGGGTTTCCTGGGATCACTTCCCCCACAGAACTACTTACATTTGACTCCTTGTCTCGGGGTCTGTTGTCAGGGGAACCCATCCTTCAGGAAAGCCTGAATTTTCTGTTTTTTTCTCCCCTTCCCAAATCAGGACCTTTCTGGGTACAGATACCCCATGGCAACCTTTCAGCCCAGTGGCCCTGAATCCCTGGATACCTTGACCCTCTGTCCCCAAAAGGAACTGACCAGAAGGGTCAGGCCGAGCCCTGGAGTCAGGACCCCAGCCACCGTCCAGGCAAGATCAGAGAAGAACAGTGCTGAGGAGGAGGAAGACACAGACGACCATGTCAGCTTTCAGCCCTACCTTGAGCCACCCCTCTTCCCAGGGCAGGAGCACCAGATACCGGGGTGCTCTGAAGCAGGTGACACCTGGAGTTCCCCCGTCCAGGTCGAAGACTCCTCTGCTGCAGATGCTTCAGACAGAAGCTGGGCCAGCACGGGAGGCTCCTCCCCTTGGGATGAGCCTGGGTCCTCTTGCTATTTGGCCAAGAAGAAGCCAGGCCAAGGGCCAGTGGGGGACGGGTGTCAGGAGCCTCTCCCACTGCTCGAATTCTCCAAGGACTTGAGTTTCCTGGACAATCCCCTGAAAGATGACCTCTCCTCCTGGGCCCGCTGGGGCTCCTCATCACCAAGGCTGAATCTGGTCCCTGGGGAGCCCCCAGTTTCTCTTCACACACTGACCTTTTGCTGGGACAGCAGCCCTGAAGAAGAAGAGGAGGAGGAGGAAGAAGAAAGTGAAGGGGGAGGAGGGAGGGAATCAGAAATTGAGGATGATAGTCCTAGCAATTGGGGGGCTGGGAGCCTATGGAAGACTGAGGTCAGAGGTGGGACACTGGGGCATTACATGGCCAGGTGAGCTGTTCCCCAGCTTCTCTCCAAGTCTGGTGCCACTGAGCTTGCCTAGGACCCGAGATGCCACCGAGACTTGAGAGCCTGGGAGCATCACCACTGAGGCCATGGAGGGTTCTTGCAGCATTTCGGAAACCCCAGGGTTGGTGTCAATTAGCTTGAGCAGTAAGAAGCCGCCCCATCCTTTTTGACTCACCGACTTTGGGCTGAGCTCCAAGAGAAGTGGAGACAAGAATGGGCTGAGGTCAGAGGTTGATTGGGTGTCGCATCACCCCACCGGCTTTGGGGTGACAGGCCAGTTAGAAAAATCATCCCTGAACAACATGAAACAGGTGAAGTCAGGTCACAGTGGACACCAAGGGCTAACACCACAAGGGGCCATCTGGATCTAGAGGGAGGGAATTTGGAGCACATCTTTATCAGTGTCATGCCTTTCTCTGACACCTCCTGAGCGCCCCCACCCCCAGGTCTCAGCCTCCTGGTTCATGAATCCTCTACGGTGGGCCCCAGTGAAGAAAAATCTAGTAAGCCAGGGATGTTGGAGAGGAAGGGAAAGGGTAGTCATTATTCAAATTCCAGCCTCTGACTCAGGGAATTATGCAGCTTTTATGATCAGATGACCTGGGTTCAATTCCCAGCTCTGCCATTTACCAGTCATGTGACTTTGGGTAAGCCAACTTCCTTCACTGTACCTAGGCTTCCTCACCGGCAGCTGAGAGTCCCAAGAGAGGGAGGTATAGTATGGTGGCTGTCACATCACCGGTACCCTCCGCACGGTGGCTGGTAGGATTCTCCATCCTCCCAGGCTCTGAGAGGACTGCAGGGCATCTCCCACCTGTGACCCCTAAACTCTGAGCGACTAGCGCTCACCTTTCAGCTGGTCTCACTTCTCATCTACCTCCCACCTTCTACCTTCACTTCCTCCCTCCTCCTGGTCAGGAAACCGCACTCTCGGAAAGCCAGAGCCCAGCCAAGAGGGACCCTGACCCCTCTCCCCTTTCCCAGAAAAGAAGGAACCAAATGATCCACCTTCCAGGGGTCTGATTTGTTGGGGTTGGGGTCACAACCCGGCAGAGAACTAGACCCGTGCGCCTGTGATCCCTGTTTTAGACAGCACTTTGGACTCTGGTTATAAAGAAGTCCCATTTTCCCTTCTAGTTGTGAGAATCCAGCACCTTCTGGCAGCGGGTTATGTTAAAAGGTGTGGGAGAAGCAGTAAAGTGTCCCCCAAACTGAGAGGGCACTTTGAAGCCGGGAAATGAAGCAGGCCACTGCATACAGTTTTCACAGAGTTTTATTCAGGGTAACTCACCGACGGGGCGCTTGGGCAGAGGGTGTTCTGTGCAGAGGCATAGTTACTCTCTGGGAAATCCAGGCCTCAGTCCACAGCTGTGATAGAGCCAGGGGACGCTCAGAAGGGCGTTGTGGTGAGATCAGAGGGTTCGCACACACTTCAGAGGGCTGGAGTGCTCCTCTTTGACAGCTAACCTCTCATCAGATCCTGTGGTACCACCTGTGCATCAGGAAGGGGAAAGACTATGTTGTCTCTAACAGGTTCATGGGAGGCCAAAACAAGCCTCCCCCGCCATCCCAGCCCTGGTGGGCATTTCTAAGGTATGTATATGAATCTCCAAGGGCCTAGAACACATAGCCTCAAGAGAGGTCACGGAGAGAACATGAACAAGATGGAGGGCCAAAGATGGAGTCAAGTATGGTCAGCGCTCCTACAAGGTGACGATCCTTACCTGGGGGCTGGGGATGGGTGTTCTCAAACCACTGTCTTATTAACCCATACCCACCGGTGTATGGATGAGCAGAGCTGATTTTTTACCCACAGGGACCCAGATTTTTGTCATTTTGTGACTGGGATCTGAACCATCGTGGTTCTGTGACCTGGGCCCTGCCATTTAACTGCCAGGACTTAGATGTGTCCATTTGTGAAGAAAGCATCTTTGTAACCGCTTTACCCACAGAGCTGTGCTGGTTTAAAGGCAACATGAAGGTTTACCATTAAATGAAAGATCTGGAAAAGGGCATCTGCTCCAGGGGTTCTCAAGCCATGTTGAGACCGTTCTCAAATGGTCTTGGGTTTCACGGGAGGAGTCTCAATTGCAGGGGGATCCGTGGTCCATGGGACCCCCAACTTCCACCAGAGTGGCCTCCCTGAGCCCTGGCGCACCCCCATGGCCTTCCGTGTGAGGCTGTGCTTAGGGAGCTCCACTGCTCAAGAAGTTAGCAAACCACTTTTTTTTTTTTTTTAGATTTTATTTATTTATTTGAGAGATCGAGAGAGAGAAAGCACAAGTGAGGTGAGGGGCACAGAGGGAGAAGCAGACTCCCCGCTGAGCAGAGAGCCCGATGTGGGACTCGATGCTGGGATCCTGAGACCATGACCTGAACTGAAAGCAGATGCTTAACAACTGAGCCACCCAGGCGCCCAGCAAACCACTTTTTTAATTGAATACTTGTCTTTTGTTTCAAACAAAGAAATGTCAACCCACTATGTATGTCCCTACCGGTGAGATCTTTGATCTCTGGCCAGCTGGGCCAACCGCTGTGCCCTTGGCCTTGTCAACAAAGTGCCAGGATCTCAGCAAGTATTTCCAGGAGCACAAAGCTGGCAAGACGCCTTCACCACTGCTGGGACTCAAACATCCATGCACACACACACACACACACGTGCGTGTGAATGTGCAGGAGCTGAGGCTTGTCCACATCCCTAAGCATGCTGAGGTTCTTCCTGGAACCCAGCTGAGCTGCTTCGTGGAAGTAATTTCGAAAAACTAAAAGCTGTCATCACTATTGTCTTAGGCCTCTGTGAAGGAACCACGTTATCTCTTTTCTTAAACCTTGTTATTTAAGAAAAAACAAAACAAAACTTTTTTTTTTTTTAAGCATTGCTTTCAAAGTTTCATTTCTGAGAGAGGCTGAGCTTTTTAGTAATTCTCAATGCCAGCTCTTTTATCCTTAAGTCATTAACAAAAAGCCATGGGCAGCATTGGGAAAGAACGTGATATTCAGTATCATAATTTGTCAGGTGTGCTCAGCACTCAACCGTTTGCAGAGCCCTCTCCTGCGCACAGCGGCCAGCCGGGAGGTGCATAGCCTGAGCTTGGAGGCCACCTGGAAGGATGGATGGGTGATGCCCTAAGCGAAAGCAACATTATGATTCTTTAGCACACTGAGATTATGCATTGTTCTTAGGTATTTGTATTCGTGTCTAATTTTGTTCTATGTTGACAACATATTTAAATAATTTCCTAATGGTCTTGGATATTTACCCTAAATTGTTCTAAATAAAAAGCTCTATTTTTAGAGAAAATGGCAGGATTGTATGATGTGTGTGCTCTTGTTTCTCAAAAGCTCCTCACCATTCATCTAGCTCTTAGACCACAAGGGTCTTGGGTCGGGTCCCCAGCAGCAGACCCAAAGACTAGGATTTGGGGGTATAAAGCAGCGCTGTGTTTCCAGAAAGCACCAATAGGGGAGTGGGAAGCCAGGCAGGGAGGGAAGGCAAACTGTCCAGGTACATAATCAAACATATCACTGCTCTGGGCAACTGGGGCTTAGTCCCCCTGGAGGGCTTTGGGGGTTCAGTGTGGGACTCTCCAGATTTGTTCAGCCAGGAGCAGGAGCTAGGGAACGTATCCACAAACCCCGTCAGTCCTATGCAGAGGGCCCCCACTCCCACCCCCCGTGAGAGTCCTTGATCTGTGCGGTTGGAATCCATCAAGCTGAGTGCATGAGAAAGGTGAGTGCCATGGGGGTGGGGGAAGAACACCCAGGTCACCAGCTACAGTGAGGCCCAAGCTGTACCCACGACCCTGGCATCTCACCCTATTGCAACAATGGTCCAGGGAAGGATACAGAACATCCTCCATGGCTGGCCTTGCAAACCCGAACTCATTCCAGTAGATCTCTGCTGAGAAGAAGCTCCCAGCTTCCAGTGACTTTCCCAGGACCACCTAGTAACTGACCAGCACGGTGCCTGCTGATCGTCATCATTTACCGGGGCCAGGGCAGGTGCTAGACCCAACCTGAGCTGATCCAACATGTCCCTCTCTGTGGAATTCAGAAGTCTTGGCTGCCTGGATCTAGAACAGGTAAGTTCCAACCTGCTGTGGCCCCATTTCCCTCTCCAAGGAGCAGGAAAGCACAGTGTGCAGAAAAAACAGGAATGTGGCAGCAAGGTGAGCTGCCGAGATGAGAATCGATAAACCTTGGCTCCCGTCCATTCCTGAGGCCCAGCTGCAGCCCTGTCCCTGGTTTCCCAGCAACACAGTTTTGTTTTTTTTAAATTTTATTTATTTATTTGACAGAGAGAGACACAGCAAGAGAGGGAACACAAGCAGGGGGGAGTGGGAGAGGGAGAAGCAGGCTTCCCACTGAGCAGGGAGCCCAATGCGGGGCTCGATCCCATGACACTGGGATCATGACCTGAGCCAAAGGCAGACACTTAACAACTGAGTCACCCAGGCACCCCCAGCAACGTAGTTTTAAATCAGCTCCCTGGGCTGCCTGTTTCTTGTAACCAAATATCCTTGCCAACTCACAAAGAGACCATCCGTATTGTAGCTTGTGGTCAGGTTGGAGCATCTGACTCTTGAATGGATGTGCAGTAGGTCCTTCCCAGAAAACAGGGTGGAAGTTCCTCTCCAAGTGATCTCAATCACCTCCCACCCCGCCCTCCGATGCCAGGTCAACTTTGGAGGGTCTCTTGGACTGTTTGCTGCCCACCTTCCGGCCAGTGGTGGGTTTACAGGGCTGCTGGATCGCACGGGTTCCTGGAGCTGGGAGAGGGGAGGGTTAGGGTAGTGGGCATTACACCCTGAGAACTCCTTTAAGGAAGGGACTGTTTTCCTCCTGGCACCAGCACCTGGCATAGGGTGGAAGCTTGGTATTGAATAAATTAATGAAGGAATGAACGAGTGAATTGATCTATGAACTGGAGTCAGTAAGGGGCTGGCTATGGCTGAGTTATATATGAGGCAGCCCGAGATCTTGCATATCAGATGACACCGTCCCAGATCCCAAATTCCTGTCGCATGTGAATCAGTGCCACTCAGTGAGTGAAATGGTGAGGAAGGGAGCAGACGTGGAAGACAAAACAGTACCTTCACACCCTAACTGTAACTTCTTATTTCCCATTGTTTAGGACTTGATCAATGGCTATTTGCTTACAGCTTCCTTGAACTCATTCACTGTGTGCACCAAATGGGGCTAACGTGATGAGAGTTTGGGGGGTTAAAAAAAAAAAGACCAGAAATTATATCTAAATGAGTGAGTCAGTTCCATGAGTCCATTACTCAAGAGATACTGGTTGGCCCCAGGACCCATTCCAGCCCAGGCAGCCCCACCCCTTGGCACATGATGATACAGAATGCAGAGGTTTGACAGCTTTTTATAAATTATCAAGAGGGTTTTTTTCCCCCCTTCCCTGCCTCTCTAAGTGGGTGAGGAGGAGGAGGCAGGGAATCTCAAGGTAAGAACATCTCGGAGTACCA